AAATAATTACAACATAATTGTTTTGTTTTTTTTTGTTTTGTTTTTTGGGTATTCCTTTAATAAAAATGGTGCACATTAGAATCCATCTACCCATTTTTTCCCCTTTATCCCATAATTTCACAAACAGGCCAAAAACAGTCAAAATAAAAAATACTAAAATTATATAAATATTTATTACAATTATTTAAATAAATAAATGTTTTAAGTGTTAACATGTTCCATACCTAATGTCTACTTGAGAATGATGCAGTAAAAATACCAGACCAAGCTAAGAATGATATCACCACAGACCAATCTGTTCTCTTTTATTTTTAGAATATTTCCTCAGAGCATCTAATCAGTGCACAAACCCCAGCAACACCAACGTCTCCCTGCCTGGCATCTTATCATACACTAGGGGCTTTTATCCCTTCTTCCAGTCATTAACAAGAAATAAGTGGATGGCCGTCTGGAAAAAAACAAAGCCATAGTGGTTCTGCATGATGTCAGTGCTAAAAAGCATTTTCAGGGAGAGAGAGAGACTTGTACGTTTCCAACAGTCCCGAGACTCATGGTATTTCAATCAAGAAAGGAGATTCTGTTAACCAAAGGAGCAGGGTGCTTTCAGTTCAGCTGGATCAATTTAAGGACTTGCATAACTCTAAAATGTCTGCATTACTAGTTTCAAAGACTCTGCTCAAGGTGAAGGAACATAAACTGGGTTTTGATACTTTTAGTTAGGCATTTAAATAATTGAAAGTGAAGCTGTAAAGTAGGTTTAAGATGACTGCTACACAATGCTCTGAGACAGGTTGCCTGAACTCTTGCTAGTAAGTGGCGAATATATCCCAATGGTGTTTGACATGATCCTGTACCATCTGGCAGTCATCATAATAAAACTTTTAGGCAAACTAATGAAATGAAGACTCCTTTTTTATGAACCAAGGTAGAATTCTGAAATGCCAGGTATTTTATTATTTCATTTCTGACAAAATTTTTAGTCAAATATTAGGGCTACTTATGAATGGCCATCAATGGAGAAAGATGTTTTTGCTGCCAGATGGTGTAGTATGACATTTACCAACAAGGGCTAACAAGGCCATGCTAACATGCCACACCTTCAACTTTTGCTTTGGCCAGCCTGTCAAAACATTAGCTCAACCAATGGCATAAGTTTGGAGTGGGAGTGTGACATTGCATTTTTGCTAAATAAATATAAAAAAAATTGTACTGACCACAATGGTAGTGTACAGAATACATACTTTAAATATAATATTTATCAAATACAGAACTGCATGAGGTGTATTTTATTTTTATGATTTACAAAGACATTGTAACTTATTGAATTACTTATTGAATTTTTTCAATTGGTAATAAAAAGACATTTCTTTTGTTCAAATATTTATTACTTAAACATACTAAAAGAATCATTAATTGAACCACTAAGGAACTGGAATCATTAAAGAGGAATCCGATTCAGAACCAGAAATGAATCATTAAATCTCTTTATGATTCCCATCCCTACACATTTCAGCTTAAAATAGTACATTATCTGAGAGCATCATGGTATGATCCAGTTTACCTTAGTGCAGCTGATGTTCAAAACTAGAGATGCACCGATCGATCGGCCAGGGATCGGAATCGGACGATTTTCCTCATGATCGACCCGGATCGGTGATTGGTCGGTCAGTCTCACTTCTTTCCGATTTCGAGCCGATCCGCTTTGTTACCAGCGGCACAGGCAATAACATCAGCCATGCATTCTCACTCTCTTCTCTCCGACGACCCCTTCTCTCTCACACACGTCTCATTCGCTCTGGTTAAATAGTTGTATTGTGCATTATAGTCATTCCCGCAGGTTTCGCGCTTATACCAAAAGAGCGGGCACCACCACTGATCTAAATTAGTGGAGCGCACAAGCCACGCTCAGTCTCAAACAGCTTGTGAGCCACAAATACCAAAATGAGTGGCTAACTGCGCTAAAACGGTAAAATACATACAAAATTATGTCAAAATGACCATCTTGGCGAGTATCCAGTTAAACACAGTCCGTTTTGGAATGTTAAATGGTAGCGAAAGAGAACGCATGTTGTGTAACAATATATTGTTTTTTTTTATTTGTTCTTATTTTATTACTGACTTTTTACTTGTGCTTTTTTATGAAAATAAAACTCTGCGTTGAAGAAAAGTAGATTTGTGTTTGTATATGCTGTCAATTATAGTTCTTAGAAAGAAAATCGGAATCGGCAGATCACACTAACGAAAAATCGGAAATCGGAATCGGCCAAGAAAATTATTCAAAACACAAAAATAAATCAAAATAAAAGCCAGATAACATAAAACAGATAACAGACCAATACCTTAATGTGAAAGCTATTTTTGTGTCTTAAAGACCCAAACTTTTTTTAAGGCATGCACATCAAATTAAATGAAATATGTCTTTGTGCATTATGATATCATACTCAATAACCACTGATCTTAGAGCAAAGGGCAGACTATAGCGTGTGACATGAAAATAAGGTATGTTGTCCTTGCAATGCCAATGCAGAGCTTGTATGATGTCATCGGCCACCCTGACAATGATGCGTCGCTATGTTTTATCAATCACAGAGTAAGTTATCCATACGCCCATTTCACAAATGAACAAAGCGAATTAAACCTCAGCACCTGGTCCATTAACACAGGGGTGAACCCAAGGTTTTAGGAAGGATGTGTGTCCCTACACTTCATCAAAGTGCTTTTAATAAGAGTATTCAGTTGAAGGCCAAGCATTGTCCTTCTAAAAGTGCCACATTTACATAGTGTACAATTACAAAGCCAAGGCGGCCTGAGAAATTATTTTGCATTCCCCATTGTGAACAAAGATATAAACCATGACCTGCAGGTCAATCATAAGTCCCTCTTCTATACTTGTCTGATACTTTGCAAGCCGGATGTTTAATTTGTTGATTCATAGCATCGTGGCAGTCCATCCAAGGGATTAAAACCTCAAGCAAGAACTCTGTTATTAAAATTTTGGTTTCATAGACGTATAACCTCCCAACAACTCTGTTATTAAAATATTAGTTTCATAGACTAATAACCTCCCAACCTCCACAAAAAGTGCATGCAATTAAAAACTAATTGCATAAAATAATTTATCAAAAGCACCACAATGGTTCCCGTTCAAGACCTTTGCTTCTTAATTATTAATTCCTGCAGTTAGGCAACTTACTATGTACTGAGTGTGAGGGCCCATGCAATATTAATAGCAATGCATAATTATGTAATACATTCCAGACATAAGAAGCCATATATCCACAGTGTTTTTTGCTTTATAAGATTGTTTCATCTCTAAGAGGGTCTTGGTGGATAAAAGAGCCACAACTGCAGGGGTTTTAGTGACCTCCCATATTAATTCTATCAAGAATAAGACACACGAACATTAGGAAAGTGTTCAACACAACATGCAGTCTTGCTATCAAAGTGCACAGAATGCATCAAAGGCATACCTTAAAGAAAAAAAATGGATGAACCACAGAGTCTGTCAACAAGGGAACACATAGGGCCCCTGAATTAGGCTGTAGAACACAGTGCATTGTGTGATAAATCATATATTATGTTCATGCCAGTATTGGAAGATTATTGAAGGTCTTTATGGTGCCTGAAGCAAATATGGAACCCCATCTACAATGGACTAGCTGGAGAAGTTTGGCTTTCATCTCGAGATACGCTTCAAAGCTTGCATCGAACAGAGCAATGAAACTGGCAATGAAAATAATGTTGTGCACTTCACAATCCCCATCGTCAGATCAGCAGCTGAGATCACACAGAGACAGCGCCGTCTCCTCGTACAAGGTCTTCCGAACATGTAAGAACATGTTTCGAACATTTCCATGTTAGAAGCTATGGTGAGATGCTTTGAAAATCTTTAATGTCTTGCATGCGAGTGAACTTCCTCATCGACCAGAAATCCCCATATATATGAATAAAACAGAAAGCTTCAGTATCACTCCTGCTTCTTGTTCAAATCTTCATCTTGGATTTCTAATTTGAAGGGACAGCACAGAACTCTTTGATAATACTTTGTGGTCATATCTAAACTCAAATTAAATACAATGAACCGAATATACTTCTAAATGTTCAACAACTTTTATTTAATTGTATACCTGTTACTTAAACGCCATTAGGTCCACAGTTCAAGGTTACTTTTTTTATTTTCGGAATAAATGCAAAAAATGTGACATACATTACAAAATACAATAGTATTCATTTAGAGCAACAACTTCAGAGTGAACTTGACTCCACAGGCTACTGCTATGACTAAAAGTGCATTATTTATTCATTTAAAAAAAAAAAGTATTAATTTATATACAGTAAGTGTGAAACATTTTAAGGCAAGACTCCCGAGGTGAATAGAGTAAAGAATTTAACTTTTTTTTTTGTATTACAAGTTTTCTAAAATTTTGTTTAAATATGGAAATCTATCTAATTAAATATGCACTAATCTGCATCAATTTCCAGAACAGAAATCTGAACATTGGATAAAGCAAGGAATACAAAAGATATACAAACAAACCCTCTGTAAATACCAAACTTTGAATACAACTGCAAAGTTTGGTGTAGGTGCTACTGAAGTGGATATTTGTGGCTCAGTCCAGGAGAAAAAATTAAAATAAAAAAATTATATATATATATATATATATATATATATATATATATGAGAAATGCTCCTTTAAAGATATGGATTGTAATTGAAATGTACAGATGCAAAGATAAAGTGCAATAAAACAAACTGCTGTATTTTGGATGTTTTCTTCACTAGTTTGAAACAACATGTTATGTAAAGCCAGATAGCCCCCAAAATCTCAAATCTGAAACAATGCCTAGTGCCTTGCCTTATATCGGAATAAAAAAGTAGGTTAAACCCTTCAAAAATCATTTTGTAGGAACTGTTTGACATAGGACATTGAAAGAGACACCATAAGATATGATACACCCACACATTACATGACTACTGCATACTACATGACTGGTGTTCATTATTCCTGTTGTATGAAAGAAGATACAAAGTGTGGTACACATTGCAGATCATGTAACAGTACACTAAATGAGCGCTAGGCCCCAGCCCCAATCAAAATCCAAAGAAAACATGGATTTACTTTGACATCTGTGAAGAGTTTCCTGTTTCCAATGGACACTGGAGGACTGCCATCTATTTTGAGGTCTGTTATGGATTAGACATTCTGATATTAAACAGGCATGTTTCAGAAGTCTTCCTCTTGAGTAGAATACTAGATTTTAGTTTAGCTTGGAGGGGGAAATCTAAAAGCCTCTTAAGTATTTTGTGTGTGTGTGTATTACTTATTTGTTAATCTAAAAAAATATTTTTTTTTTCAGCTCCAGTTCTCATTCATATTATTATAGAAAAGAATGACCAGAATATTCTCCTAAAATATACATTTTTGTTCTACTAGAAAGAAAAAGGGGTGAAACTTGTTTGGGTGAACTATTCCTTTAAAAAAGACTACAGTATGTGAAATACCAGAAATCACAGCTGTTAAATGCAGAGCACAAACTAAATATCTCGCCTCTATAAGTGTCATTCAGATTTTTACGCCCTCATATCTAGTGCAGAACTTGCCATGACAACATCTAAATGACTTTATCTCTCCCAGTTATTGCATGAGAGATAAAGCTAAGAGAATGGGAATCAAAAGGAAGCTTTAAAGGCTAAATTTACATAGAGAGTAAAGAAAGCATGCTGAGATGGTGTTTGGTGTCCATCATATGCAGGATAATGGTGTGGTTATATTCACCCAGGAGGCCATGCCTGCATTTGTTAAGCTTATGGCTTCAACCTATACAATTCTGGTATGGAACTGGTCGAGTTTGATGGCTCCTCAGCTCCAATGGACTTATGGGATAGCAAAGTGTCTATACTGGAATGTCGTCCCAGCAGATGCAGCATGTCATCATAGTATTGTTTAATACTGAGTTTTTGAACACCCTACTTAATTGAGGTACTGCTCACTGTATACTGTATATAGAAGTACACATATTTACAGTGTTACTGTCCAATGCAAAGGTAGTTGTAAATTATTAAATATATTCAAGGAAGATGATCAATCACAATTCAATATGCAAACAGATGTAAACAAAGAGCAAACAAGTGTTATTTTAGTTTCAATGAGGTATTATTATAGTTTTAATAATAGTTTAAATTAGTTTTTATTTTTTACATTTTCTCATTTTAATTGTAGTAACTTTTATAATTTTTTTATATTTATAATTTTATTTCAGTTAAGGTTTCTTTTATTTCAAGTATTGTTATATACTGTATATATATTTTATGACTAGTTTGATAAACAATGTCACAATGACATCGATGTTGGGTACATTCCGAATGTAAATATTCAATTAATATTCACTGTGATGATCTGATATGGTATCAGTAGCTGGATAGTGTCTAACCTATTATTTTGTAATCAAAAACAGTCATATATGAAGAATGTTAGTACTGTGCCGTGTATTAGTGGTCTCTTTATATAATGTACACTTGCATCCCAGGAATTTTGGCTGTGGTATTTACCAGGCATTTAGGAACTTACCCTTTAAAAACGTAGACATTTGCGATCGTATTCCACCCTTCTTTGAGGACATCTCCTCCCTCTTGGTGTCCTGAAAACATAAATCAGAATCTCATCCTTTGATCTAATTACATTTCAAACCAGTACGATCCTCATTAAGTGAAGCTGTCAAGTTACACCTTAAAATGATATATTAAAATCAAGCTAATGCCTCTTTTGAAGTAAAAAGAAAGAAATATGGCTTTTACTCATGCACTACCATGAGTACTATATAAATGATAATGAGCTCAATTAGGATGCTCAACAAAAACAAGTTTGTGTTTCTTCTATTTGGATTGCATTTTATGAATGCATTAGGACAAGATCTTTAGAGACTAAGTGTAGCTCTAAGTATATATTATATGCTTGTAACTAAAATTAAATGAGTGAAAGGAATAGTTCACCCAAAAAAATTTAAATCTGCTGAAATCTACTCCCCCTTAAGCCATTCAAGATGAAGATGAGTTTGTTTGTTCTTCGGAACAGATTTGGAGAAATCTAACATCACTTGCTCACCAACGGATCCTCTACAGTGAATGGGTGCCATCAGAATGAGAGTCCAAACAGTTGATAAAAGCATCACAGTAAATCCACAAGTAATCCAAATGGCTCCAGTCCATCAGTTAATGTAATAAACCTATCATTAAGATGTTTTTAACTTCATTGCTTCTAGCTAAAATATGAGCCATCTATCCATAATATTGTTTTCTCCAGTGAAGTAAACTTTCACCAAATTGTCATTTTTGGTTGATCTATTCCTTTAAGATCCTTTTCACAACTACTGAAAGTCACTTTGTGTACTTAGTTGACATGTTAAAGGGATAGTTCACCTATAAATCAAAATTCTGACATTATGTACATAACCTCATGTTGTTCCAAAACTGTATGGCTTTCTTTTTTCCTGTGAAAGTTTTGATGAATGTTCCCAATGCCTTTTCCATGTAATCAAAATGCATGTGGATCAGTGGACAAGCTACAACAATGGCAAAACAATACAGTAAAAGTATTATAAAAGAAGCTTTGTGTGATAACAGACTGAAATTGAGGTCACTATTAACGGAAAATGTTGCTTGACAGCTATGATCACCATTCACGTTCAGTGCATGGAAAGGAGCAGCTTGAACATTCTTCAAAACATCTTTGTGACGAGTGACAGTCTTCTTTTATGTTTTACGCAGTAAAGAAACATACAGGTTTCAAAAGACATTAGGGTGAATAAATAGTGAAAGAACCCGGAGAAACTTGTGAAAAAGTGTGGCAACATTTCAGTATTTCTGTAACAGGGTCTCAAGATAGAAAAGCAGTATTTTCTTAAGTGGTCCAACAAGCCCATTGGACAAAACCTGTGCATCTCCATCTGATTAATGACTATCCACTGTCTAATAAACAGTAATTGAATGGTCTACTGCAGAGGCCCTAAAAGCCTGGGAGAGCTGCTCGCAGCCCGTGCTATCGTCTGGGGTTGATTATAGTTGACCTTGTGTGAAGCACACTTTGAAACAGTGAGTCTAAGCTGGGGAACTGTAGCCAGAGAGCAAAGCAGAAGATAAATGAACAGATATTGTATTGACACTGCAAAAGGAGATCGATAATATGATCAATATCTATTTGATTTTTATCACAAAACTCTGTGGAGGAGGAAGACGATTGATCAAATGTGCCAGGACACATCGGCATATCTAACAATATTAATTAAGAAAAACTGCTTAGGTGACTGATTGCTAAATCAGTCAATATTGTTCAAATCAAAACAAACGATTTCTGCATTCAGATGTATAGCCTAATTCTTTCTCAGGATGGATTTACTGTAAGCCTTGTACTAGTTGTCTTAACATGCTAAATGAGTCCTTAGGCATAGTTATTATGATAAGAGTTAATAGAAGTTATAATCATTATTTTAATTTTATTATGCTACAAATTATTGTGACTAGGTCAAGTCAAAGTATTATTGTTTGTTCCTAAACAAACACATTTGATTATGAAAATTAAGAGATTCTAAATGAAAGCACAATTATATAGTGCAAAACCAAAGCATTTCACACCCAGTGTTGTTATTGATCAATAAAACTTTATTTCGCTAATTGAAATAAAGCTGAAATCAAATAAAATATAAATATTAGAATGAAAAAAACGAAACTTAAAACATGTAAATTAGAAATATTGCCTTGGCAACTAAAAGAAATACATAAGTAGAAGTTAAGTAAGTTGAAAATCAAATTACTAATACTAAAACTGAAATCAAATAGATAAAAAATTAAAGAAATCTAAATATTGAAAAATGAAACTAATAAAAATGACAAATTACTAAACAAAATTACAAAAACTTACATTTAAAATGAAAACTAAAAATATAAAAGAAAAGGCTAATTCAAAATATTAATAAATACCACAGTAGTATAAAACTAAAATAACTGTTCACATCCATAGAAAAGTAAATGTATCATTAAAATTATATAGTTAATATAATTATTAATTTAATAACAGGGACTGATTTTTTCCCTTTTTAACCGGTCACCAAACATACTTCAGCAGATTTATTTGTGATTTATCTGTGAGTCAATTTTACATAATCTGCATGTTATTGATTGTTTAAATAAGACTTGATATCTTCCTGTTTCAAAGCACTGTGAAATTGCATGGCATTGTAATATTCCAAAGCATTGTTGTGTCTGTTCATCAATGTTATGAGATTCACAATATAACGAGTCAAGGACAATTGGCCACAATAACTGCTGTATCTAAATGGACTAATTTTATGGGGTTAGATCACAGACAAAAAAAAAAAAAAGCAAATTGCTGCCTCTCTCCTCATTACATCATCTACTGTGTGATCAGAATGGAGAGGGGAATATGACAGACTTGTGCTGCATTCCTACTAAAGCCTACTAAACTTTGGTTGATGTTCTGGCAAGATTCTCTCAGATTAATGAACAAACATACTTTGAGTAACATTAATAGAACCTTAGTTCAAAATGATCTGGTCTTTAATAACATTCTCAAAATGTTATCAAATACCTTATGCACAAAAACCTTATTGATGCACCTTTGATGGATACCTTGTTCTTTTTTTTTCTGAAATGTTGTTGTTGGTTATGTAACATTTTTAAAACATTACTACTTACTACTTGATTCAGAATGTTCAGAGAACGTTCAAAAGTAGCGTTCCCATAATGATTGCAAAATTATGAAATAGAACTTTAATTGTTTTTCTGACAATTGCCAAGAAAAACCAAGAAAAAAATATTTTAAAAACTGAATGTTTTGAATGTTTAGAGAACATTTAGAAATAATGTTTTCATAACTAACTATGGTAACGTTAGCAGAACGTTCTGAGAACATATTTTAGTTAGCTGGGAAGGAAAAAATTTCACTTAGTTTTGCAGGTGTTTGCAGGCTGTTAAAAAATAAGTCTGGACAACCAATACTAATGGTTATTTTGTATGTTTAAAATTTAGCCAAGAGATTCAAATCAACAAAAAAGCCAATTTACACACCTGTCTTGGCAGACAAAAGTTTTAGCATCTTAAAAGAGCACAAATCAGAGATATTTTATGTTATGGATGTTCAGTTGCATTTTTCCATGAGTCATGAGCTTCATACTTTTGTTTTCTTGTTGATCTAATGACTGGTCCCTGTTCTCTCCATGGCTGTTGGGTTGGAGGTCTGTTAACCTGTTATTGTGTTTATATTTACTGTATTACAATCTAAGAGACTGGTCAGTGGTCAAAGTACAGTAAAATAGACAAAAGTAACAATGGGTTGATCGAATATTCAGATTCTATGGTGGGAAGGCATTATTAGGGTGTAAACTTAAGTCTCTTTTACCTTATTGGTTCTAAAAGGGGACAACCTTGGGGAAAAAGCTGCGTTTGGATGGTTTGTAAAGCTTTTGACAGGGCTATCACTACCATTTTCTGGTCTGGGGTCTTTGTAGGAGTTTTGTTCATCTTCAACTTCTTTTACTTACATCTGTGGGAGAAGAAAACATTCGGCTTTTAGTTTTGGTATTCAATAATCTACATGACTGAAATGTGACATCATGTATATTGCTTGTCGTTTTCACCTGTTCAATGGGAAGATCCACCTTCATATTTTCATCTTCCAGTACTTCAGATGGTACTACTGCCTCCTTCCTTTTGTTGGTGGCTCTGAAGACACTTTTTTCTGGAGAGACCGATAAAATCCTAGTTGCATGCATCATATGTTGGATGCATCCATTAGTACACACAATTCTCTTCATTTTTAAAAGCATCCAAAGTTTCATATTTAGAAAAGTTGAGGACTGCATCAACTATCATCCTAAATATTTAATCAAAAGCAGCCATTCAAGATTTTACTGGAACTTATAAGATAAACAGATAGGAGGTGTATGTTTTTCTAGAGTTTCACAGGCCCAAATGATAGAAAATATTTCAAATCAGAGCATTTAGGGACAGCAGCATGAAGTAGGATCAGGTTAGTCCATTAGTAAGAACCTTGAAACCCTGTTTCCAAAACTAAGCTTCATTGTTCACAGTGAAACTACATTGTAAATAGACAGGCTCTGTTGTGACTAACTACAAATCAATTAATGTTTGTTACAAAATGCTCAATATCTTTTCTCAAAACATAGGCTATTAACACAGACAAAGAAAAAAAACCTGTCTTGAGTCTGGAGATGAAACATCTTGTTTCGGCAGACAAGACATGAGGGTTAAAGTGATAAACACTCTTCAGCATTACCCAGAACACTTCACCTCACATCAAATCAAGTCAGTCCGAGCTCAGCACTTCACAAAGCATTTAATGGGCTTTCTTGATCCTGAGATGCAAACTGCATTCATCGGTGCCTTTGACATTCAAAGGTAAGATCATCTTGGCTAATGATAGGCTGACAGCAGATGCACTCCTCCTCAAGTAGGTGGTGGGAATGGCTCTCGCAGTCATGGCATGTTTGATTACCCCTCTGCAGCGATTGATGTAGTTAAAAGGAGGTTTTCTTGTTTTATTTTTTTCAGTTTCTGCCATTAGGAATGGCATTATCTGAATCTTCTGCCCCATGGGACATGATCAAGTGTCCAGAGTAGGTATGAGCCTTCATCGAAGGGCTTTTATAAGCATGGCTGCAGACATACCGTCCGAGGCTAATGCGAGATCTGCATGAGTGAGGGAAACTAAACTCCATCACAAGGACTGCTGGCTCGGCTCTTATGAGCAAAGTGATGGCAGTTCCGGAGCGCCTGCAATTACTCACTGAATGACCTCATGGCAAGTAAAAGACACAATGCACTTGCTCAGTCAAAGTCTAGTTCGGTTAATCTAGTGCACAAAAAGTGTCAATCTCATTCACGTGTGCCCCTTCAGATTTGTGAGCCAGATAGATTTTGAATATAACAAAATATATACATATATAAACAACATAAAAAAAAAAATAATAATAATGTGCACAAATCTTGTAAAACAATTATGAAATGAATTATTTAAAATATATAATATAAAATGAATTATTTAAATATTATTGTATATTAATATATTATATTAGAATATTGTTCAAAACAAATGTCTCTCTCTTATGCTCACCAAAACTGCATTTATTTAATCAAATAATGAACAGAAGGTTCAAAAGAACCACATTTATTTGAAATATAAATGTTTTGCAAAATTATAAATGTCTTTACTGACATTTTTATCAATTTAATGCATCCTTACTAAATACAAGTATTAATTTCTTTAAAAAAAAATCTTGCTAACACCAAATTATGATATATGATATGATATGATATGATATGATATGATATGATATGATATGATATATGATATGATATGATATGATATTCAGGATATGAACTTGCATGCCCCCTCAATAACATTGGTACATAATGACCATGTATAGCATATTATGCAATAAATGTAATGCAAAACGATAGTCTATATGCAACAGAGTGAGAGAGAATTGGTGAATGAAAGCGAAAGAACAGAAACCAATATAGAGAACCAACAGAGAAAAATCTGAGAGAATGAGAGAGAGAGATTTCTCATGAATAACTTATGAACATTTTGATTACCTATCAGACAAAAATGGAAACATTTTGTTTTCCCTGGCATAGCTAACAAGGCACTTGCATACATTTTAAACAAAATGGCCTGATTGAATTTATCTATGATTTAAAGCCCTCCGCAGCATTTGAATACATGCTGAGCTTTAATATTCCTCTCACAGGATGGCATTCTATCTAAGAATGAGAGTGTATTTCCCTAATGTAGGTGGGCTTTAGAGAACAGCCTGTCAATTCAAAGCAATTTGTGGCACACACACGCCTGCACTCGCTGTAGTGCGCCGCACACATGCAAGAGTACAAGATCCCTCTTTTTTGCCACTCTCTCTCACTCCCTTAATCATAAATGCATCACAATCACACAGCAGAGATGGTATAAGAGAAAGACGAAGCACAAGAGAGGAGAAAATATGACTTCTACAAAAACAACAGCTACAGTGCCTATCAGCAATTATGTAAAACGTCTGTATCTGTGAAGGAAGAGGCGGGAAACAGAGCTCTAGGGAGACAGAAGGAAAATCGTATCACACCTGGCCACACTCACCCGCCGTAGTATAGAGATCTGGGATTTGCGAGCCCTGCCCAGGCTGTTTGGCGTAAAAAACAGAGCCGGTGCTGTCCACTCTTGGTTTTGCGAACTACAAGAGTAGAAAAAGCAATCTTCAAATAAAGACCATACATGGCTTTGATTCGATCTGATGCTTAAAGTGTGTCCACAATCCTTTGATAACAAGAAACAACTGTGATTCAACCACAGCTCGTTCTTCCTCTTTTACTCTTTTTTTCACATTTTCCATTGACCTCAATTTTTCACGAGCTGATATGTTTTGTAGCTCCCCAGCGACTGGCACGGTATTGAATTCATCTGGTTCCAATACATCCCATGCACAACCTATCAATCACCAGAGAGCACAGCAAACTAATCATTTATTGATGAAACAGGGTAGCCATGAATTTCTAACTGCAATAGTCTTATTTATCAAGCCAGATCAAACAATGAGGATCCAAACAAGCTTTAAAAAAGAGACTTGGAGGGAATAACTTATTCTTCAGCAGATAGTTATTGATGATGAAAAAAGAAGACTGGGGCACTGGAGACACAGAGAGAGACAGAACAGTGGGAAGAGGAGTTTAGAGTGATGCTTTTGACAGCAGGATGCATGTCTGAATTAATGCTCCGGCAAAAGGTAATTTTCTTCCAGCAGTCAGTGCATACCGGATCTACCACTGGGAGCAAGGTGAGCCATTTCTGGCACAGTGAGGGAAAGAGAAGGCTTTAATACATTTTTCTCCAGCTCTTGCCACTGTTAGCTGGCTTCATAGAGAGGCAGCTTGGGGGTACTTCACTGATCTCCATCTTCCACTGGTACACACTACGGGCAATGGTGTTTGCAAGCCCACTAACATGGGGTTTGGGGAATAGCTGAATATTTGTTCTACTCACTTGCTTTTTTCTGCCTGACATGTCTTTGAATTGTTAACCGATGTTGGTGGGCAAAGGAGAAATAAAACAACAGAACTGCCAAAAGTTCAGATGGAATATTCACTTCAGTTAGTTCAAATTCATTCAGAATTCAAGTTCATAAATGACACATTCAGGATGAACGTGCCGAATTCACGATCTGAAAACTCAAGTGGTTGTTCATGTATTACTAGATTAATGAGAGTAAGTGAGTTTTGGAATTGTTAAGACAGGGACAGCCTCCCGGTGGACCACTCACAGTCCACTCACAGACCATTTGATTCATGCTGCACAAAACTGGCAACACCGCTCGAAAATTGGTAGTTCAAATCTGATTGGATGGCCATTCAATTTCACCAGTCCGCCTGTAAACAAATGCACATTTAGAAGGTGCTAGGTTAATACAATGAGGAAGAACTAATCAGGAAGAACTAATCTACACCTATCAATTCTCATGTTATCTAATATAAATATAAAAATTCTGGTTAGTCACTTTATATGTCAGTCGGATGGATTCCCATCTCTTCCCATCTAAGTGGGCGATTCTTGACCAGAATAACGCTGCCTTCATGTGCTATTGAAAAATGTTGTACTTTCCACTCAAGTGCTTTGTTGTCAGAAAGAATAGGAATTATGGAGGACACCAGGCTCATTCTTACCTATTTCTTAGGGAAATCTTATTAAAGCCAAAATGGAAAGTCAATATCAAATGGATATTGAATAAAATGTAGTATCCCATTAGCTGACAACCATATAAACATTAACCACACTAGTGTACACATTCACTGCACTATCTAGGAAATTCGGTCAAATAAATGCGGTTTGCAGTGTGGAAAATACATACAATTTGCATCAAATGTAAATTTTGTTTACATTTTTGGCCCATTGGTTTGTCTCCTGTATTGACAGCGTAAACATCCAATCACAATGCGCTATAGATGGAGCGATTAAGTATTTTGCTCCGCCTATATAAAGATCGCATCACCCCAACTAAACTATCCTAATGTGTGTGCCATGAGTGTATGCGTAAACACTTTTTAATAAAACGTAAATTCGTCCCCTGCGATTTTTTAATCAAGTCAAGTGTGTTCATAGAGGTTTCCATGGGCCAATGCGAATAAAGCTAGATTTAAATTTAAAAAAGCACGATATTGTCGGACCTGACGTTTTATTCTTATCCAAAACAAGATGTGATATGAGTGTGATACATAGGCTACATACATACACTACCAGTCCATTTTTTTGAACAGTAAGAAAGATCCAATAGAAAGATCCAAAGATCAGCATGCATATGAAATAAAAAGCTTTTGTAACATTATACATATACCATTCAAAAGCTTGGAGTCAGTATTTTTATTTTATTTTTATTTTTTTGGGAAATGATACAAATGTATACTTTTATTTAGCAAGGATGCTTTAAATTGATCAAAAGTGACGATAAAGACATTTATAATGTTACAAAAAATTTATATTTCATATAAATGCTGTTCTTCTGAACTTTCTATTAATCAAAGAACCTGAAAAATTCTACTCAGTTGTTTTCAGCATAATAATAATAATAATAAATGTTTTTTGAGCAGCAAATCAGAATATTTGAATGATTTCTGAAGGATCATGTGACTGGAGTAATGATGCTAAAAATTCAGCTTTGAAATCACAGGAATAAATTACATTTTAAAATATAATCAAATAGAAACTATTTTACTAACTATTTTCTAAAAATATTTCACTATATTACTGCTTTTGCTGTATTTTGTATCAAATAAATGCAGGCTTAGTGAGCAGAAGAGAATTCTTTAAAAACGTTTGACTGGTATAGTGTGTATATGTATATATATCGAAGTGGTGATGGGCCGCCTGGACCAAAAAATGTCAGGGCTGATTTTTTTGTCCCAGTCCAGCCCTGGGGACGATGCAAAATACAGGCTTAAACGGGGTCAAAAACGTTCTGAGCCTTCCAGTTTTCCAGAAGTAAATACGACTGTAAATAAAAGGCAGGTCATGTCCAATGTTCTACTATTTACAATAGCAGTATAAGCTGCAATGTGGACCAGACTTTATGTTGACAGTCAAAAGTCTGGCTAAGTGAGACTAGTTCTCATTTAACCAAGGCATTTAAAGGTGGAAAGTCTGAGTTTAGTTTGGAAGGTTGAACATATGTAGAAAAGGCCTATATTGTACATTTGAGGAGTCAAATAAGACAATTTCCACTAATCTAAGCCCATTATTACTCCTGGTATTAACATCTGTTTTGATGAATAATTTTAAGGACAACACCAAATGTGGGATCTAAAACGTTTTGCATAGTAGGTATAAAAAGCAATGTGTCTCAGCTGACCACTTGTGATGGGATCAGCTGATACAGATCTTCATATTGGATCTACACAGGGCCTACGAACAGGTTGTGGTGTCCTTTACACTAACTCAAGCATGGAAGAACAGCGAAAGCAGGGGGATGGTAGCTTCAATCTAGAGCGATGTGATAATGACTCTGAAGCCAGGCGTGGAAGACCCCCCGCTGTATTTGTGAACCACTCCCCCTGCCTACACAGGACAGCCCTGACAGAGAGCAGCTGGGATTGGTGTCTCTACCAATCCCCTAGAGAAACCAATGCTTTTCCAAAACAGGAAGCCACTGTGGGGATGGCAGCAGGTCTGACATGAGCAAGTCACTGGAGATATGAGGGGACAGCTTCACCCTACAGTGCGACGGAGAGGGTCTGAACAGCTTTACTGCCTCTGCATGTCATAGTCATGGATGTGTGGTCTCTAGTACAAGGGGGTGTGATCATCTCTGTCACTGCTGCACATTTCCACCCGTGTCAACTTTGCTGACACCTCGCTCAACATCTGTTAGGCCAGTAGGAGAATAAACACCAAATGCTGTGCTACTGCTTTCATCTGCCGGTGCAGTGCCAGCTCTGTCACATGAAGAAAAAAACCCTGTGCGAAAAAAACACTGAGATTTCTAATAATACACAGGCCTCTCCGTGCAGTTTACATGACAATAACGTATAAGTTTACGCATACTGTATTGATTTCTAGGGGAACATGAGAAAGATTCTTCTGTAATACAATATCATTATCAAAATGTTTGCATTGGAATGACATCATTGGATAATGTAAGCAGCGGGCCAGAGAAAAGAAAGGTATTTTGGTGGAGGAGGTTGATGGAGGCCATAGCTGAGTCTTTGTCTCCCTCATGTGGTAAATACGAGATCTGAAGAAATAATGCTATGAAGGGGAAAAAATATGCTTTGGATTAAAAGCATGTAGAACATGCAATGTAATTATGGATGTACTTATCAATGTAATAAAATGAAATTATTATAATTTTTTATAATTTAAGTAACTTATGTTTGAAATTACTTTTGTGTGCAAATGATTAAAATTAAAATTAAGTAAATGATTCATATTTAATTGAATTATTATATAATTAATTATATACACTACTGTTCAAAGGTTTGGGGTAAGATTTTAATGTTTTGAAAGAAGTGTCCTACTGTTCACCAAGGCTGGATTTATTTGATTGATTACAAATGAAAATTAACTGTTTCTATATATAAATATAAATATAAAGTGTTCGCTAGTCATTACTCTAGACTTTAGTGTCACAAGATCCTTCAGAAATCCTTCAAATAAGCTGATTTAGTGCTCCAGTAACATTTCTTGTTATTAACAAAATTGAAAATGAACACCACAGTACATTTTTTTCTCCAAAATTTTCAGTAAATAGAATGTTTAAGAGAAAAACATTTATTTGAAATAGAAATCTATAACGGCGTAGAAGAGTTTGCTCTTAATCAATTTAATGTCCTTAAAAATTGTTTTTTAAAGAAGAAATTCAAATGCATAATATTAATTAAAAGTGGTCTCTAGTACAAGGGGGTGTGATCATCTCTGTCACTGCTGCACATTTCCACCCGTGTCAACTTTGCTGACACCTCGCTCAACATCTGTTAGGCCAGTAGGAGAATAAACACCAAATGCTGTGCTACTGCTTTCATCTGCCGGTGCAGTGCCAGCTCTGTCACATGAAGAAAAAAACCCTGTGCGAAAAAAACACTGAGATTTCTAATAATACACAGGCCTCTCCGTGCAGTTTACATGACAATAACGTATAAGTTTACGCATACTGTATTGATTTCTAGGGGAACATGAGAAAGATTCTTCTGTAATACAATATCATTATCAAAATGTTTGCATTGGAATGACATCATTGGATAATGTAAGCAGCGGGCCAGAGAAAAGAAAGGTATTTTGGTGGAGGAGGTTGATGGAGGCCATAGCTGAGTCTTTGTCTCCCTCATGTGGTAAATACGAGATCTGAAGAAATAATGCTATGAAGGGGAAAAAATATGCTTTGGATTAAAAGCATGTAGAACATGCAATGTAATTATGGATGTACTTATCAATGTAATAAAATGAAATTATTATAATTCTTTATAATTTAAGTAACTTATGTTTGAAATTACTTTTGTGTGCAAATGATTAAAATTAAAATTAAGTAAATGATTCATATTTAATTGAATTATTATATAATTAATTATATACACTACTGTTCAAAGGTTTGGGGTAAGATTTTAATGTTTTGAAAGAAGTGTCCTACTGTATGTTCACCAAGGCTGGATTTATTTGATTGATTACAAATGAAAATTAACTGTTTCTATATATAAATATAAATATAAAGTGTTCGCTAGTCATTACTCTAGACTTTAGTGTCACAAGATCCTTCAGAAATCCTTCAAATAAGCTGATTTAGTGCTCCAGTAACATTTCTTGTTATTAACAAAATTGAAAATGAACACCACAGTACATTTTTTTCTCCAAAATTTTCAGTAAATAGAATGTTTAAGAGAAAAACATTTATTTGAAATAGAAATCTATAACGGCGTAGAAGAGTTTGCTCTTAATCAATTTAATGTCCTTAAAAATTGTTTTGTAAAGAAGAAATTCAAATGCATAATATTAAATAAAATTAATTAACAAACATATAAACATAAGCCTTTAGATCTAACCCCAACTCTAAATGTTTTTAAGACGGCAAGAAACAAATTTAATCAAATGCATCAAAACATTTGTCCAGTAGTGTATATAGTAAAGCTTTGAATTATTATTACAGATTCTCTGCAGGGAAAACAAATATACGTTATTGTTTAAAAGTGTTTGTTCTCCTCTCAACAAATACAGATTACAGGTATATGTAAACAGATTATGGAACTGCACCTTGGAATTTAATGACAGTCTGATGAGACTTTGATTGCTATTCCATCTTCATTGTATCAAAGATAATTGGCCACTTTCTTCAAATGACTTCCTCCACTCAATGAAGCTGATGAAGCATGAGAAATCAATTAAAGAACAACACACATGGAGCAACCACAAGAGCTTTCCCTTCTAACATCAACAGGCAAACGGTTTGCGGTCATTTTTCTTATTTACAATAACCAGATGTCTCAAGCTTTACTTTGGAGAGCTCCAAGTCCCAGTCCACTAAGTGTGTATTTTTTTCTCCATCACTTATTTGCCAGGTCTAGCTCTTATAGTAGTCTAGACCATCCCAAAAGCATCAAGTGAACAAGCGCACTATCACAAAACTATTTATCCTCATTCTGTGGGTACAGGGGAGGGTTTCAGTGCCTTCCCCCGGTGAGGGAGTTCGGCTCTCACTTGATCAAGTAACACAAACTCTGAGCGTTGGGACAGTTTGAAAAAGGAGAGGTGAGAAGAACTCAATACCTCCTACAGACAGTGATTGATGAGGGGAATGTACCCACTCCCAACTCACACTGCCACATATCAGCCTGATTGAAGACATTGAGATCCTGTGACGGTAACATTTTTCTCAACTATCTGATCTTCAACACTAATGAACAGTAGCCAATTTATATCTGGCCTAAATTGAAATTTTCTCGATAACTGGTTTCGGTCGGAAACGAAAGGGATGGATGCTGATCAAGATCTGTGTCTTGTAAACTAGTTCGGGACATTAGCTCTGTTCTGTGTTTAATCTCCATATTACCGTTTAAGAACAGAACAAATAAGACTAATATAGCATTCCACACTGTCAAAACAAGCTCATTTGCTTGTGTTCATCCCTGCATTCTGAAGAATTAGCCTATTAGTTTTTGAAAATGCAAAATTAATACCAGCATTTTCATGGCATCTATAATATGAATACTTTATCTATTAAAGAAGTTATTTCATTATCCTTACCAAAGTTTTGTCTTGTTTTTCTTTTTTTAGTACTGGAAGAATGCCATTGTTGATCCTAAAAAAAGAGGAAAACAAAGAAATTATTTAACCAAAATAAATCAATAAATCTCTTGGTTGTTCCAAACCTGTTTGCTATCGTTCTTCCATTAAAATATATATATATTCTAAAAACAAAAATGACAGTTCTGGCATTTTTTATTCATTCTGTACAACTGTAAGTAATGCTTTTTTAATATTAATTCAATTTGCCATTTACAAGTTTATTAATTTTACTTTATTTCTAGATTTATTTATTTTGAAAGAAATGAATCCTTTTATTCAGCAAAAGTGACAGTAAAGATATAAAGGTATGTTACAAAAGTTTAGTATTTCAAATAAATGATGCTCTTTTGAACTTTCTATAGATTAAAGAATCCTGAAAATGTATTACGCAGTTTTCAACTATTTGTTTTCAACCATTTTTAAATAATAATACATATTTCTTGAGCACTGAATCAACATATTAGAATTCCTGAAGGATCGTGTGACAGTGAAGACTTGAGTAATGGCTGCTCAAAATTTGGCTTTGCCATCACAGGAATAAATAACTATTCAAAACATATCCAAACAGAAAAAAAAGGTATATTCATTTGTTATAATAGTTCATAAAATTACTGTTTCTACTGTATTTTTGACTTCATTCGAAAACATTAAAACTTTTGAGCAGTAGTGTAATTTGTTCAAATGTTTGTATGCATAGAATCAATGATATCACTTCAGACGAGGACTATTTCTATAGTGCTTTTCTGTCTTTTGCCTGTTGTACTCCATTACAGAAAGAAAGTCATACAGGTTTTGAATGGCAAAAGGTAATGATAGCCAAGTTTACCATAAGAAAGTTCAACAAAAGGGCATTATAGATCTGTTAATTACTGTCATTGCAATTATCATGTCTTATAATCTTTCTTACACATCGGTGATGTTGTGGATTACTTTTTTGCTTGGAGCCAGATGATACGGCAAAGACCGGAACCTCTCTTTCCCTACAGCAACATAATAGTGGTTATTCTGTAGCTCATACGATCCACGTACAGGCCTCCCATTCAGCATGCACAATCTGAAAAGAGTGAGATCACTCAATATTTTCTTACGTTTTACACATGTACTATATGCATTCATGGATGCAGCTCCTACCTGTGCACAGCTCCAGAGCGAAGATGAACTCTCTCGGTCACCATGGCCAACACATTTTCCCAGCTAGCAAGCGTGTGTTTTGGAATCAGCACCATGGCTGGAGGAACCAATATATCTCCATTGGTAAAAACACTATAAGCTATAATCAAATTTGGCACTTAAAACCTCAATTCACACATTTATGCTTGCAAATATTTTTGTTATCAAAAGAAAGACAATATCCACTGATAATTAACAACGCAAGGAAATCAGATGACATTAGAAATAAATAATAAATAAAGCAAAGAACATTGGTCTGGTTTTATACCATTAGACAGTATTACAGTTTTAAAGAATTAGACTTTGCCGTAGCCTGAGGCTTTGCCATTGAAGACTTCCAATAGGGACACATTAAAAGCAGGGCTCACTTGATGATGCACAACTCATTACTGATTCTCTTCCATCGAGCTGGGACAATTATTCTGCTGTGAACCACAGGTTGGATCTGCAGTGGAGACAAATGAACAGGACCCCGCTGAGCATCACAGACAATAACTGTTCCACAGCTCATTTAGGGCACTTACACATCTGGTTTTCTTCAATCAACTGTCTTGAAATGCTATGTTGGTTGTTGTTCAGATGGAAACAAGGAGCTAAAAGGGTGACAGACAGTGACATAAATGGCCATAACCTCAAGCAAAGACACTCTAAGTGGGCATTTTTATGATTATTGCTCTATTATGGTCCATTGCATGTTGGTCTCTAAGGAAGGTTGTAAAAACTATTAGCTTAATAAGTCACTTAAAATAGTCCAAACTTGGAATAGTACAAAGGTTGCATCTTTCTGACTCCTGATTTGAATCATATGCAAAACAGATCATGGGATACTTAAAGTTGATATAGTTCTTTAGGGTCTTAATGAAAAGTCTGTAACATAGTTTTGTTAAAATTTCTCAATGGTAGTGTAAAAAACACCTTTTTTACCCTGTCAAAAACAGCTCTTTTCAGAGCACGCAGTTTTGTAGCATTTTCCTTTATATGTTAATGAGCTCTACTGACCCCGCCCCTTTCTTCCGAGCTGCTCTCTGAGGGACTGTTTACTTTAGCCGCATTCATCGTGAAACTTGCTAATTAGCACATTATTAGGAAAGGCGATTTGAAAAGATTCATTAAAAAAAACCTTACACTCACTTCTTCTGGAGGTGAAGCTGGATCACGAATGATTTGCGTGAACATAGACGCAGACAGGCATCTGAGATCGGCTCGATTTGAGAAAGGGGGAAAAATTTGAGCAGATTAACAAAACAACACTGGGTGGATTTTTATCATTATAGGGTGGTTGTGTACACACACTGCCATCACACATTTCAGTTCAAACAACTTGTAAAAGTGCATGTAGCATCCTATGACCCCTTTAAGACTGGAGTAATGGCTGCTGAAAATTCAGCTTTGCCATAACAAGAATAAATTAGATTTTAAAATACATTCAAATAGAAAAGTTATTTTAAAATGCAATAATATCTCATAGTATTATAGTTTTTATATAGTATTATAGTACTGTATATATGGGTTAATAGTATTTTGGTATTGTGATGCTTATATTATGCTACTGTTGACTATAGTTCACATTCCTGCAGAGTTTAGTTCCAACTTTAATGAAAAACAGCTGAATCAAGGTTTTGAGGTTTGCATGAAAATTACAGACGGGTGCGTGAGCAGGAGTAGAACTGAACTCTGTGGGAAGACAGAACTCCAGAGCAGGGCTGAGAAACTGAGAAAATGTTTTATCCTGTTTTTTCATTCTATCAAGAATGAGCTACTGCGAGTGACTCTTACCGGTTCACTTTTCTTTTTTGCTGGTTTCTGTGTTGTTATGCGACGATAGCTATCAAAGAAAAAGAAAATATAAAGTCAATAAAATGTAAAAAATTTAATTAAAATGTACACTTTCTGTACACATTATTATAGGCTATTTAACAAAAACATTAAAATTAACACTCAAGACCCTGCGTTAGGCTGCTAAGATTTTATATTCATTATTTCATAATCAATAAAGTTTCCTTTTTTAAAGACTAAAAATCAATACCACAGCAATTTAGTTACTCTAAACTTGCTCCATTTTTTTCAGTCTCTCTGCTCCGGCTGCCACATATATCTCTCCATTTACCAGCTGCTCCAGATCCATCACCCTGTGACCCTTGTTAGGGGTGTAAATATTTTGCACTGCCCCAAAATGAGCTGTGATGCCTCGAGTGACAGTGTTCAGAAAGCTGTCAAAAGTGAATGACTGGCGTTGATTGATAACAAACTTTCGTCCGGGATAAAAAGCATCTCCGTTCCTGAACACAAGAACCATTTTGGTTGGAGGATGCGCATGAGACCCCCAACCAGACATTATGAACGAAAACAACTCCACGGTAATCCACGGGGAGGTGCTGACAAGCCCAAATTAAATATATAAATAAAACACTATTTTACTAACCACAACAGAAAGTTGTTTGAATCGTTGTCTTCCGCGTGCTGGAGGCAGCCAGTTGTTTGGATGAGTGAAAATGCTAAGAAAATAGCAAGAAATGGCAAGAATACTACAATCCCTCAACTCTCTCTGAACAAACACAATTATAGCATATGAATTCGTCGTAACTTTTTATTTTGATAGCTGTTTTTTTTTAATGTGGTTTGTTCTACTTTAGTCTGTGCGAAGGTGTAACTGGAGGTCAGGCATTGCAATTAGCCCATCTTAGACAACCGCCAAACATTAGATTCAATTGTAATCAGTGTATTACTTACTCCTGTTGTCGGAGACTGTGTATTGTAGGTCAGCTTTTCAAAAATATCAATTTCATCTATACTGTTGTCAACCTGATTTTTCCAGTTGTGTTTTAGGGGTTAATAGTCTTCTTGAGAAGTGGGACAAAACAGGGTGCAAAATTGAAAAAATAAAACCTTGTACTCAGACAAATGAAACTACATTTATGTATCTTATATGTACTAAGCTACTGAGCTATGCTTTGATACAACCTTCCAACTTTTCTCTTTTTTAACAAAATGTGCTTTTTTACCTTGGAGTGTGTAATATAATTTCAGCTTTATCTTTAACAGCATTCAAGATGTTTTTAACATTTCAAAACATTCTCGTGTTAGCAGACAGATTGCACTTTCACATGTGACCAACAATTCCACAACAAATATAAAATATCATAATGAAATATTATCAAAATATTCAACTGACGGAGGTGACAGAACTGACGGAGTTGACACATCTGACGGAGGTGACGAAAACCTAAATTTGCAGTGATTTTAACTATCAAATACATTGAATCAGTCAATTACTGTATTAAAACAAACAGTGAGTATGTTATTGTTTATAAAGCTTTTATTCAAGAGTCACATTTAAGTATTTTGATATATCATTGGAACACAAAATCTTATGGTGACATCTGACGGTGTTGACAAATGTGGCATTCACAAAACCAATGGAGTTCATGTGGTAGCCATTTTATGTTTTTCTGTTGACGCTAGATGCTAATGGAACCTGCTTCAGGAAAATAAAATTATCTAAATATTTCAAATCATTTCCTCAGAAATTGGAAAATGGTTTTGACATATCATGGCTGTCACACAGGAAATATTAACATTAGGATTTAAAATATTCTAAAACTAAAACTTAGCAGAGCCTGTCTGACACTGCTGTACTCTGCAGAGGTGAACTGTGGCAAGAGGGTCCTTTAGAGTGACAGCTGCCCCTGATATTCCCTGATTTGATTACATTTTATTATGTCTGACGGTGTTGACAAAAAGTGGGGACGCAACTTTAAAATCTTATGAAACATGCATGTGTCATTAAAAAAACAACCTTGCTTTGATAGGAGATATTATTAAGTGTTGCTTTTGATAAAACAAGCTCTTTTTCATCATTAAAAAAAACATTTTTATCCATTTTATTGCATATGAATGATTGAACCCTTCTCTGTGGACACACTGTTTCAGATGTAGTGAGAGGACATTAAGAAACACAGATTTGTTATAATATTGAGAAAATTAATTTGACGGTGATAATTGTGTTAAATACATTCTATTATTAATTTTTTTAAGCTAATAGCAGTTCCCATTGCTGGACCTGTTTTGTCCCATGTCTGAAGAATGACTGAATTCACTAGCTGCCTTCACGTTCTATCGGAAACTCGTATGTTGCACTTTTTTTTTTTTTTACAAGAGCATACATGTAAGTTAACATCAGTTGCAATGAGCGACGAAACGTTAGCCCTTTTTTTTCAATGCGTTGGGAAATCATGCACCTTTGATCGCCGTCTTCTTCCCATGAACTTTAACCTTTCAAGAACTTTTCCAGAAACGTTTCAAAATTCTAGTATTAATAAAAGTGCCTACGATATGAAATAAAGGGACAAAAATGGTTGTGAATGAATGAAAAAAAATTATAAATACACAAACTAAAAAGGGGTAAATCAGATGAAAGATACAAGAATGTTGTAGGGTGAATTAAATTCATTAAAATTATTATTAATAATAAAGCTAAATCATTTTATATTATTTAATAAAACCTTGGGCCGTACATTGAAAATAAACATCTAAATTAACTGGTTTTATTCGAGTCAAACATATTATTTAACATCACTGAATCAACCTAAACACATTAATTTATATTAAAAAAACTATTTTTTTATGGATTAAATCAGGTAGAAATAGCTTTTCAAAGTAACACAGGTTACCACTTTTTACAGCATAGAATGACGCATTTTGTAGACCTATTTATTTATTTATTTGTTTGTTTGTTTATTATATAAAATGTATAAAACCTAACATTTGTATTTTACATACATCTTTTCATTAACTGAAAAGCCAAATGCAAATGTTTATTGCCATATTTTAAGAAAGACAATTCCCCACTCAAGCTGATTTAAAACTGATTAGCAGATTTATGGACTCAATATATAGTTTATGGCAGGATAGGTTCCTTATGCTATTGTCTGTTTGGTGTGAAGGCTAGTGTAGAATAACAGATCAGTTTACACAAGCAGGTCGCCTGATTATGTCTGTAAAGTTCATTCTAAAGACCTATTATGAAATGTAAGCACCTTCCATCTTTAAAGATTTATGAGGAAAAACACTGTTATACGTGCAACAAAGGTGTACAGATTGCCACTTTGCCCCACATTAATCAGATTTCCTGCCTGCTGTTATATTTTCATGCATAGTTAATTTCAGGACGGCTTGACCTTGTCATTAGCACATACAGTAAGTGCAGAACGACAATGAGTGCCAAATAATCACAGTGTGTAGAGCCACACGTGACCACTAGAGAGCGACAGATCACTACTTTAACATACTGTAGGCCTACTCACTGAATGACAGATGAAACCTTGCAAAGAGTAATGGAATTGTATTAGTGCTTAAGAAACATATATCGAAAATACTAAGAACGGACAAAGAGTGTTTTAGGACAAAACTGGTTGCTCATTATATACAAAGATTGATTGATTGGTTGGTTGGTTGGTTGGTTGGTTGATTGATTGATTGATTGATTGATTGATTGATTGATTGATTGATTGATTGATTGATTGATTGATTGATTGATTGATTGATTGATTGATTGATTGATTGATTGATTGATTGATTGATTGATTGATTGATTGATTGATTGATTGATTGATTGATTGATTGATTGATTGATTGATTGATTGATTGATTGACTGACTGACTGACTGATTGATTGATTGATTGACTGATTGATTGATTGACTGATTGATTGATTGATTGATTCAAAAGTCGCATAAAATAGGAGAGACCGGGGATGGTTAACACGGGTCAGTTGTAACATTTCCAATTTCTCAAATAAAGAACATGTTACAAATCACCTAATTCACGTCACACATTCTCAGTTTAGACCTGTAGTAGAGTCCTGTGCCAGACACAGCAGATTTTAGAGGAGAAAAACTAATTTTGAGGTAAGAAAGTAACTTTCTATACTTCATTTATTTTTGTGATGGCAGTCCCTGCTTTGTAGTTAAAATGATCAAGTTAAATTATGTTTATTGTGTGTCTGTGTAGATATTATTCATGCAAGTTGTTAGTGCTAATGTTTAGGCTGTTAGCTGTAAGGTAAGCTAGTTCATGGCTACAAGACTCGAGATTAGTTGTAACATCAATGAAACATGTCATATATTACTCCAAGCTAATTTTATATATATGTTTTCTTTGAATTTCAGTATGCTTACGTCTTGGAAGAGAAAGACAAACACAGAGAAGCGTCTCTCAGTGTTTAAGTTCAATTTTATTATGGCCAATTATATTATTTATTATTATGACTGACATTAACAAACATGCTTAAACACACACACGTTATTCAGTTTTATTACCATGATGCTAATGTAACACACACACACAAATAGTGTTCAATAGTGTTCAAGCTGGCACATATTTGCTAATTTTATTCAGTTTTCACACACACACACATACTCCTTATTGCATAATGTTACATCTCACCCCGGTGGATATCATAATGTTACACCTCACCCCAGGGTATGTTACAACTAACCCGGACTATGGGGTGAACTATAACATTTCACTCCTTGTGTTTGAAACTAAACCATTTTAGTTTCATTAAGCATTTTCTGTTTGCGCTGCAAAGATAACAGCTATGTCATTTAATAGCAGACACTTGTAACTAGTTTGAATCACATTTTGAACGCACTGGCTTAAAAGAACTCATAGATACAGATAGAAATGTCAAAAATGTTATAACCATCCCCGGTCTCCCCTACATGCAGTATAATGAATCCTTGCCGTATTTGTGATGTTTTAGAAATAATTTACCATATTTACTACTATTACACAGAATTAGTATGAACATTAAAAAAATACATTCTGAAGTGTGTGTGTGTGTGTGTGTGTGTGCGCGTGTGTGAGAGAGATCACAGTGGAGTCAGCTGTCTTAACCATCGCTTGTGTACTGCAAACACATACCAGCTTCATCACTGTGTCAGTCACGCGACTCTGTTCCCCTTTCGGGCTCTGTCTTTACATTTATTTTGAAAGATGAAGCTCGCGATTATGGTAAGGGGCGTTACATTTCCGACGAGTGCTTGCGGTGTTCGGCCAATCACAATGCACTGGGTCAGCTGGCCAATCAGAGCAGACTGCACTTGTCGGAAGGAGGGACTTTGTAGAAAACAAAGCGTTTGAGAGAGGCGGGGCATAGAGGACCTACAATAATTTACGCGTTGCGTTGCATCGTGCCGCGTAAACCTAAAACCCTGTCTGCATTCGTGATCGGAGAAATGACAAACGACAAGCGCTACTCTACACTGCCAAAAACTTGCGTTTGAATCATCAGTGGCAAATCCTTTAAATATAAAAAACTCACTTACAGTCTGT